TGACTTTGTATATCCTCAGGTTTTCAATGGCCCCCTAACTGGCTCTGTTGCTATTTTTAAAACTTCAGATTAATATAAGGATTCGTACAGTTAGGTTACATTGTTTGCATCTGTTAGGTAAAGTCCAAGCTGTAACCGAGCCTTTCACCCAGGAGGTGCTCCATAGACCCCCCACATTGCACCTGCTCGGTGAGAGGACACTAACCCCCCCTCCCCTCCCCTGCCCCCCCCCCGCTTTTGCCCCCTACTTGAATTTAGCTGCGTTTTTTTCTTGCATTGGCGTGTAGTTGTCTATGGCTCTGCGGCTCCTACCTCTTGTCCCCACCCACTATCTAACCCCACTGCGCGCCATGTCTGCCCAGTGGCCTGAGTGGGCTCTGCCAGCTGCTATCACTTCCTTCCTTGCAGCTCTCCAGGGGCCTTCCACTGCCCGAGGACGCCCGCCCCTTAGGGATCTCGGTGTTACCTCCCACACTGCCCTCCTGCCGTTCCATTCCCTCCCACCGCGACCGTCCCTCCCGCACACGCTCCTGCTCAGAGCCGCTGCTCTTGCTGGTCACTCCCAGGGACGCTCTGCCCACAGTCCGCGTCATGCCTGGTGGCTTCTGGCCCCACGGTTCTTGTCAAATACCAGCTCCTCAGAAAGGCTTTCCCAGGCCCCCTGATTTCATCCCCCCACTGCTCTATCAAGTCACCCTGGGTATTTTTTTTCATAAAACTTGCCACAATTTCAAATTATCTATTTTTTTATTTGCCTGTATCTCCCTACCATAACATATGTTCAAAGTGGGTCTAAACATCCTCTGTCGGATTCACCACTATATTCTCAGGGTCTGCAATAGTGCCTGAAACAGTGCCTGATGTGTTCTAAGAAACAACATAAATGTTTTGAAACCCAATGTCACATCATAAAGAGCTACCATTTTATGTTCCAGAACTGGTTTAGTTCCAACATATGCAAAGCTAATATTGGAAGAAGCAGTATCCCACTGTTAATTCCCTTGACTCTCCCCAGAATATGGCAATCTGCATAAAAATCATTTCCCAAAATAAAAGAATGTCTTTCGAAATTGAAGAAGAAGGGAAAATAAAAATTCAGACACTCTGGAAAATTCTGGGCTGCTTTCTTATTCATTATAAGTAAGACAAGGTTCATGAGAGTAAGCACCAGGGTCTGATTCTTTACAAGTTGAAAATTAGATCAAATGAATTGGAGGACAACAACATCTTATGTTAATGTTTCCTCCTCGAATGAAGAAAATGAGATGATGTGAGCCATGACTCTATTTGAAAATGAAACTTTGTATTTTGATTTGATTCCATTTTAGAGCACACTGTTTTTCATTTTAGACTTTTCACGTTGGTAAATGTTGCAACACTTTCCAATCATTAGGCTCAGGCCCATTTACTGTAAGAAAGCAACACAGGCACACAGAGAGATACATCGTCCCCATAAAGCATCATTTCTAAATTACACAGTAAGTAAATGAGACTAAACCAGAAGCCCAAGTCTATGCCCCTTACACAACATGAAAACAAACAAAAAAAAACTTAGGTGTAAGTTCTCCACTCTTAAAAGGTGTAATTTAGACCAGGCGCAGGGTCTCACTTTTGTAATCCCAGCATTCTGGGAGGCCAAAGCAGGAGGATCACTTGAGCTCACAAGTTTGACACCAGCCAGAGCTAGATCGAGACCTGGTCTCTAAAAATAGCCAGGCATCGTGGCAGGTGCCTATCATCTCAGCTACTGGAGAGGCTGAGGCAAGAGGATCTCTGGAGACCAAGAGTCTGAGGTTGCTATGAGCTATAGCACCACAGCTCTGTACCCAGAGTGACTGAGTAAAACTGTCTCAAAAAAAAAAAAAAAAGAAGAAGAAGAAGAAAGAAAGAAAAGGTGTAATATATAAACACTCTGTTACATTCTTATTATGCCAAATAATCATTTAAGAATACACTGTATGCCTGGCCCTAGCTCATAACAGACAAAAATGCTTCAAGAGTAAATAAACCCAGACTAATCAGATTTTGGCTATCTTTTGCAAAGTGTGATGCATAAAAAATCTGGTCTTGCCAGGACCTTCGTGTTGATTTCTGATTAACTGATCAGAGAAGGCAGCAGCAAAGCCAAAATAAAATAACCACTCACGTAGAGATGACAGTGAGAAGGTGTCTTCACATTTGTAATTGCCCTTAGATCTATCTAATTTAGCTTTAAGTCATGAGGCATAATTGAGACAAATGGTCACACTGAGTGGGTGTCTGATGTGACAAGAAGCTGGCTGTGATTATCTTGTCGCACTATTTCTATGCAGGGAATTTTTCTGCCAACACTTTTCCTTTGATGACTATTAAATTTTATAGGATTTTTCCCACCATTAGCTGTAATGGCATTTGCATGTTAAAATGCTCACAACAAATGAAAACCATGATTTCATCGTTTCATGGGGTGAAAACCATGGTTACCGCTATTCTGAATGGAGAACAAATCTAAAAAGAAATCAGGTAATTCCTCCCGCTTGTATGATACCTATATAAGGTCTGCGGGAAACCCTATTTGCTTTGCAACACTTTTCTTGTTTTAGAGACAAAATAGATTCTGCACATGTTAAAAGACTCCTCAAGTGTTATTTTTGTTAAGGAATTTGTTTATAATTTAGTACGCTTCTCCCTCAAGTACATTTAACTAAGGAGGTCCCATTTCATAGTGGGACGAAAGGGGAAAAGCTTGATGGTTTCTTTTATTTTTTTAATGAAAAGAAAATATGACCGAACTGTAGGACTTGTGTCTAAACAGTCTACACACTGCCAAATTATGAACACAACATGAAAAGCATATACTAAGAATTTCTTGGCCAATTTTCTTCTCTGAAATATTAGCAACAGCTCTGAAAATTCTGGGATTTGTTGTTCTGGAATTTTACTCTAAATTATTACTTATAAGTACATCATTATTCAGGGTCATCTAGATCTAGTAAACCATATATAAGAAACCATATATTATGGATCTATAAAACATAAAATATATAGCTTCTTAATCATCCTAGATTGATTGATTGATTGATTGATTGATTGATTTTGAGACAGAGTCCACTCTGTTTGTGGCCCTGGGCAGAGTGCCGTGGCATCATAGCTCATAACCACCTCAATCTCTTGGGCTCAGGCAATCCTCCTAACTTTAGTCTCCCCAATAGCTGGCAGTACTGGTGCCTACCACAACACCCAGGCTATTTTTTTAGAGATGGGGGGTCTCACTCTGACTCAGGCTATTCTCAAACTCCTGAGTTCAGGCAATCCACCTGTCTCATCTCAGAGTTCTGGGATTCCAGGCGTGAGCCACCACACCTGGCCCATTCTAGATCTTTTAGATTTGACCCAGCGTGCTCACCATTTTTCTACCATTCATGACTTTTCAAGCCACTGTCCCCTTCACTGAGTATTTAAATTTTGTGACTCTCTCATTCTATCCACCAAACTCTTTTCTCAAAATTTAGTTGTTTTGAGAATTGTTTAGAAATGAAAGATCCCCAATAGTTGAGATAACCCATATTCACACCTCCAAATTTTCCTTTTAATTTGACCTTCCCTGCTGTATGTTTTAACTCTTTCTCATATTTTTCCTGAATATATTTAGTCCAAAGATTTCTAACCCATAATGTATCCCATATAAAAATATAAATTGTTTTAAAATTATATGTAATTTCTTGTTTTAGAAAAAACTCTTTAAAATTTTCTCAAGTAATTATTTTTAGTTTCCTAAGCATTGTTGTGTCATCTTTTCCTTATGACCCCCTTTTTTATGCCCCCCCCCTTTCCCACATCCAGTTTTCTGCACTACCAAAAGCAGAATCAGAGGGCGCCGTTGAGTTTGGTGAGGGACTCAGAAGAAGATGAAACTCATGCACTCATTCAGCAGCATTTATATTTGTTCACTTAATCACCTGATTTTATCTTCTATGTCAAGGACCACTGAAAATTTGTGGTATATCACTATTGTTGGCCCAAAGTTGTCCAAACTTTAAGAAAATGTACAACCTCCCTTGGAGCTGGCCTGGTTTGGGTGCCATGCAGGGAAACAACATAGACCCCACTGTTAACCTTTGATCACAAACCAAGTCCTGTTTCGTGATGAGCATTAACTTTAAGAGGCAGTAGTGTCCCTCCTCGGACAGCACATAACCACACGTGTACACCAAGTCGAGCTCCTCGGGAATCCCAAGGAAAATGCAATAGACTGTGAATGTAGGTGGGCAGCTAACTAACTGTGCTGCTTCGGGCAAATCACTTAACCTCTCTGTGACACAATTTTCACATCTTGGAAATCAAAAAATGATCTTTATAGCTCTACGATTTTATTATCCTCTGAACCAGAGAAATGAGTTAAACATCTGAGTGTGATAATTCACTTTATTCCAGCATAAAATTCACAGTCCCCACATTTATTGCCCACTGTTTAGTCTTTCTTAATGTCCTTTCTGGGAGTCTTAGCTTCCAAAATTCTCCAGGAAACTTCTCACAATTCAGTTTCTACAAGGTCAATGCAACCCATACATTTTTTCCATTGAATAAATACTCAACCTAAAATTCATTCCAAATACTGTGTTAACTCAACAATTTTTGAAACAGAACATTGAATCTTTTGCTACTGTGATGGGAAGTTTCCCACAATTCTGGTTGTTTCTCAAATAATGCTGTGAAAACACTGATACTATTGAAAACAGAAACAGCTTTACTGCTATTTTCATTATATCTAATGAACACAGAGAAAAGGCTCAAGTCCAAGACAGAGAAGGGCGTAAGCTAGGATCAGAAGAGGGTTATTTGCTACAAATCTTAAATAGATACAGTCTGGTTAGGGACACTAGCAGTAACGTTGAATCTGCTTAAGACATTTGAAGATATCACACTGTGTCATGCCAGTGGTTATGTGCCATTGGGGTTCTTTTGGTATTTTATATACTACACAGCAAGTTACAAGCAGGTATAAATAGATGGAATTGCATGCTAAGTAGCCAGGCCATGACACAGAAGGGCAACACCAGCTTCAGTGACAGAATTGCTGCTAGGTCCCAAGAAGATGGCCCAGCCGACAACACGGCTTCCAGGCATCAGATCCCCAAGTACTGGTTCATCTTGTTTAAGGCGTCACACACTGTGTTCAGGTCGCTGCGAAGGTCCTGCACCACATTTTCAATGCTTCTGGTGTCTTTCAGAATTTCAATGCTCTGAGTGTAGGGATTGAAGTACACTGAGAAGGGACGGGTGATTGACTTTGCAAAGTCCCTGCAGAATGAACAGACATCAAAAAATATATGATCAACCACACTGGTGTAAGAGATAGATAAAAGGAAGAAGAGAGCCAGAAAAATTAAAAGTTATTTTCTCTAGATAGGAAAAAAGCAAATTTACCTCATCTTTTCTTTGGCTTCTTCGAAACTTTCTGAGACAAAGTAGGCTTCCTGGAAGGTGGTGATAAGGCATTCCTGCAAGCAAGTCGTCTTCGGGTCAAAGGCTTTCACACACGCCTTGTCAGAAAGGGCATGCTGCAAACACACCAGGAAGCCCGTTAAACTCTGTCACGGCACTCCAGATCGCCTCGACATCACATTTCTCCAATACACTCAGTAATCCTGCAGGGCTGCCCAGTTACTAGTCCACAGAATTCTCCTGTACTCGGAATAGATTGGGTCTTAGGATTTTGTTTATTTGTTTAATTGTATTAGGTACTGAGGGGGGAAATGAGGTTATGATATTTTATTTATTATCAGCCAACTTCATACTGAAGGACACAGCCCAGAGCTGTACTCCAGCAGAAGTGGAATTTTAAATCTGGGCTATGAATAGAAGCAGGAACCACATAAATATGCTCCTCAATCTACTGCTATAAGCAACATGCTAAAATTTCACTTAAATGGCAGAAGTAATAATTACCTGCTTAGAGAGGTAATTGGGGCTCTGACTACACTATTTGTGGGCTTATTGCGAGGCATTTTGAGGCCAGATACTGTGTACCAACAGAGGCTGGAGTGGGCCTGGATATTTGAGGGTACTTGCAAAGCACTCATTTACTTTGCACTAAGTACAGCAGAGCAGTACACAGCAGATAAACATTGCCAGTCGGGGGGGAAAGAGCTAATATTAATAGTTATAGTTATCCCCAGAGCAGACATTAGAGAAACAGGAAAGCTGGGATAATTACTCTTTGAGCCGTCATTAGCTCAGTTCAGCTCACTACATGACTGGCACTAAGAACAGCAGGAAACGAGGAACGACTACTCTCCAGATAAATTCAGTAATGTTAAAAGTCACTGGTCATTTCTTGCCACATGCCACCTGCCCATTTATAGACCTGAGATTGATGATTCTAAAATGTAATGTAAACGGAAATCTCTGAGGAGCTTGTGACAATGCAGTTTCCTTTGGTAGGTCTTAATGGAACCAAGAAATTCTTATTTTGTAAAGGCATCGAAGATCGTGATCATTGGCTACATTTTGGAAGTATTCCTCTTGATTCAGTCTTATCTTTAATGTAGGAAGTAAATAAGTTGGGGGAGAGGGAAGGGGTGGCAGAAACCGCCAGGAACTGAGAGTTAGAGAGCTGGGCCCTAGTTGGGGTCCCTGCAGTCTAACCGAGTAACCTGGGCGAATCGTGTGGCCTCTGACTGCCTTTATTTTCTCAACTGCAAATGGGAGCTTGGGGCTGGGCGATTCTGAAGACGTTCTCTACTCCAGCCTATGGATTCCGCTCTAGCACTTTTCTGCCCTCTCAATTTCCAACCACTGAGGAGAAATTTTGAAAACCTTTTCCTGTTCAAAATTCTTGGTTTACTCCTCCAACAAAAGCAAAATGTATGGAACGATATACAGCCTCCAAGAAGTCATCTGTGGCTCGCTAAGTTTGAAGACGCAACTGTGAACCGCAAGACTGACACCTAAGAGAAAGGGCGGCCTGCGTGGACCGGCTTTCTGGCCGAGCCCTCTGTGCATCCCCGCAGGCACCAGCACAGCGTGCCGAGGGCGGCTCAGGGCCAACTCCTGCTCTCGGTGCACAGAACTACTCCCTTATAAGCAGAAGGTTACTACGCCTACAAATGCCTCCCTGCTGGATTCGATGCCGTGCGGTGAACACCACGGGAGTTTGGCTGCCCACGACCAATAACTCTGTCCATATTTTAAAACAAATTCACAAAACAGAAAGTCTTTTTAGGAGAGCTGTTGCTCTTCTGCCAAGAACTGGCTCGCCATGGCTGGTGGTTTTCGGAGAGGAGCTCCGTCCTCGGCAGCCCGGCCTCTGCTCGGTTGTCCCCGGCGTTGGGCCCTGGTCCTTCCACCCATCAGTACCCGGAAGGCTGACTCGGGGTGCACGGTCTGTCTTCTCTCTCATCTCCGCATTCAGGGGCACGGATGCAGTGGCAAAGAACATTTAAGCCATGGCTCCCTTGGGACATCTTAAACCAAAGACTTTTCACTAAGTCAAGGACAAGCACATCGTAGAAGGAAGTGAAACTCATCTGCTTGGGGCTCCAGCGCTTCTACGCGACATCACGAGCCTCCGCAGTCACCGCGGGACAGGAGGCCTCTGACTGTGTGTGGGCTGCAACCGAGACTGAAACCCGTGTGGGTCAGAGAAGTTCACTGTGTGCCCATTCCGCTGGTGGTCAGGTACGCAGTCGTTTTCACAGGTAAGGGGATGAATGTAGATCAAGAAAGCACCCAGAGGGCAGGGTGCTCTGCCCCAGGCATCAGGAAAAATCAGAAAATTCACAGAACAGAATTTGAAGCAAAGACCATTAGACAATGAAGATTGTAGTTGCCCAAAGCAGTGTTTAAAGGTAAAACTAGAGGTTAATTGTCTTAAGCTCTCAGAAACACAAACTGTCCTCAGGAGCCTGTGGTGTGTGTCTAGGCTGGTTACTGCTAGGGACCGCTCCTCCAGTGAAATACAGAACCAGTGTTGCTCCTTGGCTGTCAAGGAATCTGGGGGTAATACTGGTACCCACAGATCAGCAGTAGAAGGAACGGAGCCTAGAAGTGGAGGAACAGCCCTAGTGCATGAGACCATCAGATGAGGTGGTGATGGCACCTGTGAACAGTCTCATTTACCCGACAGTGATACCCTTCCATGCATCCCAGGAGGTTTTGTGTGTGTGTGTGTGTGTATGTGTGTGGTTTTTGGCCAGGGCCGGGTTTAAACCCACCACCTCCGATATATGGGTCCGGCGCCCTACTGCTTTGAGCCACAGGCACTGCCCTGGTTTTCTTTTTTTGGCTGGGGCCAGGTTTGAAATCGCCACCTCCGGTATATGGGGCCAGCGCCTTACTCCTTTGAGCCACAGGTGCCACCCCCCAGGAAGTTTTCTGTCCCTAAATACTATAGTGTGGCCCAAGGAGCATAAAATAGCAGCACACCTCCCTCAACTCCAAAGCCCACTGCCCAGCGGAGAAGCCCTGGGGTGTGTGCTTCTCTAATCCTGCCCGCATCCCTCTCTAAGCCACCTCGGTTCCCAGGAGCAGCTAGCTATTGTGCCCCATCCCTGTGTCCAGAGTAGATTCTCTGTAAACACTGAGCCAACTCTTGGATGTCCCCAGGGAAATCTGTGGCGATTCCTTCCTGAAGTGTTAACACTTCAATATCCTCAAGTCTGCAAGAATTAATCCATCTTCCTGCGGAGAGAAGCTTTATGAGGCTGGCAGAGTGTGGCTGACAGTCACTGTAAGAATGCAGGAGGCTCGGCACCTGTGGCTCAAATGACTAAGGTGCCAGCCACATACACCTGAGCTGGTGGGTTCGAATCCAGCCCCAGCCCACCAAACAACAATGATGGCTGCAAACCAAAAAATAGCCGGGTGTTGCGGCAGGTGCCTGTAGTCCCAGCTACTTGGGAGGCAGAGGCAGGAGAATTGCTTGAGCCCAGAAGTTGGAGGTTGCTGTGAGCTGTGATGCCATGGTCTCAAAAAAAAAAAAAGTGCAGGAGCACATGAGAGCCACCTTCTCTCATCTAGACACTCTCTAACAGGACTATTTTAGGTTTACCCACAGCGTTAATACCAAGGCACAGGACCGAAACCAGCAGTCCTGAGTTCAAAGTGCAGCTTGACAGGACGTCAAGTGAGTGCAGCTGCCCATGGTGGCCACAGCGTCCTCTTTGATGGACTGTAAAGGTTGACCTACATGAATTCTAAGGCTCTTCTTGCAATACAATTTTCACAGAGTCTGCAAATATAGAGCACTCAAGCCAACATCACCTCTCTCTACTCCAGCCATTGTAAACTGGCCAGAGCAGGCTGTCCTGGGCCTGGGGATGGCCTTGTCCACATGGGTCCCCCTAGCAATTAACTGGCTTTAGGGCACAAGTTTAGACTTATTTTCTATTATAGTCTCTTTTTTTTCCTGGTTTCTTTTTTTTTTCTTTTTTTCAGACAGAGTCCTACTTTGTTATCTGGGATAGAGTGCCATGGCATCCATAGCTCATAGCAACCTCAATCTCTGGGGCTCAGGTAATCCCCTTGAATCAGCCTCCCAAGTAGCTGGGACTGCAAGTACCTACCACAAGGCCTGGATAGTTTTTCTATTTTTAGTAGAGATGGGATCTCTCTCTTGCTCAGGCTAGTCTCAAACTCCTGAGCTCAAGTGATCCACCTGCCTCTGCCTCCCAGAGGGCTAGGTTTACAGGAACAAACCACCACACCAGCCTCCATTATGCCTTTTTGAGTATAAAAATCTCTCTTCAACATCGAGGATTTTCCAGGACCCCTTATACACTGTTGGTGGAACTGTGAACTAGTAATGACCTCTGTGGAAAATTGTATGCAGACATCTCCAATAACTTAATGCAGACCTGCCATTTGATCCAGCAATGTCATTGCTGGGTATATCCAAAGGGGAAAAGGTCATTTTATTAAAAGGACACCTGCACACAAACGTTTACAGCAGCATAATTTATAATCCCAAAGATGTGATTATAATAATCATAATCACAACCTAAATGCCCACCAATATATAAATGGATTAATAAAATATGGTACATGCATACTATGGGTACTACTCAGCCATAAAAAAATGAAAAATTGATGATCTAGTATCTTTTTGGACAACATGGAGGGAACGAGAATCCATTCTTCTAAGTGAAACATCACAAGAATGGAGAAGGAAGAGGCAAATTGAAAGTAATGGATCAACACTGAAGTGTGGGTATGGACACAAAATCTTAATGAAAATCAAGCCAGGGAGGGTCCAGGAAGGCCGGTAAATTCACACCTATTGGGTACAATGCCCACTATGTGGGTGAAGGGCCCACTTACGTGTATAACTTTGGCTCAATCTGTATAAAAACAAAGTACGTAAACAAACAAGTATACGCTCTAACATTCTGAAAAGTTTTTAAAAATTGTTTTAAATTAAAAACATGAATTTTCCAGAACCCAATTGCTAGTATATAACATTAGAAGGTAATTAAGACTATAGGTCATTAAGATAAAGAATTAACATTCAAATTTGGCTCTATCTCTACCCAACTACATGACCTGGGCAAGTTCCTTCACCTCTGTAAGCATATTCCAGTGTTCATCTGGAAAACAGGAATATTAATAGTATCTATATCCTGGGGTCATGGCCAGAAGTAAATGAGGTACTGCGCGCACAGTGCCTGACAGAGGACATGCTCAGTGTCTCAGTCACCATCACTAGCTCAGGCCAGAGGGGACAGTTTGTACACATATCCCAGCCACACCTTTGGCCACTGGTGGCACCCCTCTCTCTCAGAGGTCTGGAACCACAAAGAAAGAAACATGGCCCTCCTTATGAGGCTTCCCAGTCCTGGACTCCAACAGCACCTGCCCAAAGTTCATCAGCTTAAATTCTTCCTTCCTACCAGACACCTGCTTTTGCAATGACACAGAGTTATTATCTCAACTATTCTAAATGTAAACCCTGTGATCCTCACTGTCTATATCGGGACTGGTTAAAGTTGGAAAAAACTCAAGTGTGAAGTCAAGTTTATGAGTAGTTTGGGCCCTAGATTCTGAATAAGAATTTGCAAACACTCCTACACTCACACCACCATCACTGTTCCCCCACCAGAAAGACAGTAAATATTTACATTTACGTATGTATAGACACATTCCGTGGGCATGTATGTGTGTAATGTTTCTTGAGCCACCCTCAAATGCTCAGCCTGCTAACCAAGTGCAACATGACATCAAAATTCCTATTGCCAAATTGGGCAATGATGCATTATGCATTTTTTAATTAGAGATGCTGAAGATTTCAGTGGTTTGCATAAGCTACAGGGGCAAGGGAAGGACCCCTGTCTTCAAATAATCCTTTTGTAAAAAGTCAAAGACACAGTTTCCAGCTCCCATTGTCGGGTATTTGTTCTGTCATTACCAACCTAACTGGATTCATGAGCAGAACGGGGAGGAGGCAGGGCAGCCGGAGCGTCTGTACAGGGTGAAGGTGGGAGACCTTGGGGCACTGAGTCCTAACTCCAGCCACACCACTGACCTACCAGCTGACCTCAGAGAACCTGAAGCCACTGGAGCCTCTTCACATCCTGGCAGGAGTTCCGGCCACCTCCCAGAGTTGCTGCCGTGGTAGTAAATACCAATGCTTGTAACAAATACAAAGCTGCTTCAGGAATGCTGCTTAATAGCTACATGGAGGCAGTACAAAAAACTCACTGTGCAGAAAGGCCCTAGAAATAAAGCAAAATAATCATAGTAATTTTTTAGACCATCAGCTTTATCAAAGCTTAAAAAGGTAGGTGCTAAAGCTAAATTATTTACCAAAAAAATCTGATCTCTGGCTTGAAGGCAATAAAAACCTACCACGGATGTCCAACCTTTTTTCTTTTCTGCCACATTGGAAGAATAAAGACGTGCCTTGGGCCTCACTGTAAATGCACAAACACTAAGAAAAGCTGATCAGCAAATCAAAAGGTCCGGGTATACTTTCTGTGATGTCCAACAGCTAAGCAGCTTGGACATCCTTGAAGACAGGACTTTTGCACATGGGAAAAAAATAGAAATTACTTTAAAGATGGCTGAACTTTCTGAGATAAGACTCAGCTAATTCAGTAATTAGCAATCATTTCCTTGCCACCTGACATGTCACTTCTTTAAGAGAGTTCAAGAAAGATCTATATCAATCCCTTCCTTAAAACTTCCTTATTAGACTCTAAGCTCCTTGAAATCTTGGACCATTGATTTTGTGTTTGTTGAAGATAATGAATGAATAAGTAAGCAAATACTAAATGAAAAAACAATAGGCATATGGTGAGATAAAGTCTAGGATAGGATAAAAAGTGTGTGACAGGACAGACACAGCTGGACAGTAGGTAAATGGCCACCAATTATCCTTTTATGAACCTTTTTTAAAAGTCACTGTCCAGATGACCTAGCACATTATGCGTTGCTCTCCACGGTGATGGGAGATGTGGAAAAGCCCTACCCAGACACACGTTCCAAATTCCCCAAAGTACACCACAGAACAAGAGAGAGAGCAACCATCACTCCAGTGAAGAAAAGTAGTCTCTGTGGTTCTCAAATTTATGTTAGCTTTCACATGCTTTTCTGTATTTCTTTTGCCTTCAAAGAAAAAAAGGAACTGTTGTCAAAAAAAAAAAAAAAAAAAAAAAAAAAGAGAGAGAGAGAGAGAGAAGAAAATGAAAGTTTTCCAAACTATAACACAGCACTCGGAAGGACATGGCCAGCTCTGAGGGGCGGCCTCTGTGCCTCAGGACACTCAGCCTCTCACAGCACGAATTTTAGGATGTGTTCTGCTTAACAGGAAAAGGTGACCCCTGTAATCCCAGCACTCTGGGAGGCCAAGGCAGGAGGATCACTTGAGCTCAAGAGTTCAAGACCAGCCTAAGCAGGAGTGAGACCCTGTCTCTATTAAAAATAGAAAAACCAGCCAGGTGTTGTGGCGGATGACAGTAGTCCCAGCTACTTGGGAGGCTGAGGCAGGATTGCTTGATCCCAGGTTTGAAGTTGTTGCGAGCTAGGCTGCTGCCATGGCACTCTAGCCTGGGCAACAGTGAGACTCTGTCTAAAAAAAAAAAAAAAGAAGAAGAAGAAGAAGTAGAGAAGGTGAATTGTGGATACTTAGGAAAAAGACTATACCAAGGCCTCTAGCAACTTAGCTGGGGCCTATGTTTAAGGTACAGTTGGAATAGCACAAAATATTTTACTACAAAAGGTAACTGCATTCAAAACTGTGAGCATGTTTACACAGGAATTATGATAATGCTGTCGGTAAAGTTACCCCTATATTGGTCTAGGACTGGCATCCATTAATTCAGCAGGGCCTCCGGGCACTGGACACTTTCACAAGCCAGGCAGGGAAATGGTAGGGAAGGGGCACCAAGGAAGGCATCTCATGTCACGTCCTCCCTGGGAGCAGTCAGAAGGTGTTTCTCGTAGGAAGAATTCCTGAATTGTAAAAATGGTCCAACTCAGCAATCATAGAGATGTCGGGGTGTTGGAATTTGAGAGTGAGAGAATGCTAATGGCCAGAGCTGATGGGCCAGAACCAGAGGGTGCATGGTGGACGATGCCCTTCGGGGTACAGATTTCTGGCTGATTTCCATTTCCAGACGATTCTGTCCACACCAATAAGAACAGAAAGAACAGATTCACCCCAGCGCTGCCTACACGAGCCTCATTAACCAGACCACAAGACCCTGTCAAAAGGCTGTCTTTGTGCTACACACACTGCTGGCCATTGACTGGCCTGTGCACCCCGCCCTTTTCCTATTCAGCCTCTCCACCCCGAGAGTCAGCCTGGGCAGCAGGGCCCTGTCAGGAGGGTTTCTCAGGTATGGTCTCAGGTGCGCCAGGTGTACTGGTCCCCCCTTTACATGACGTGCCATCTGTATGGTTGTCTATCTCTTATTGTAGAATGCACTGCAAATTCTTTGATAGTGGGGAGCCTCGTGGGTAAGAGCTCAGATCCTAGAGCCTGGCCTGCCTGGATTGGTCCCAGCTCCAACGCTGACCAGTGCCATGACCTTACGCAAGTTCCTTACTGTCTTTGTGCCTCAGTTTCCTCCTTTGCAATAATATCACTTGTCACATGAGCTGTTATGGGGATGAAGTGGGAGCGCCAGAAATACTGAGGTCTACTTAAACGTGCTTGTTTCGGTGGCTGATGTTATTTCCTTCTTATGCTTTATCACTATCACTTGTCTCTTCGTCCCCAGTGCCTGGCATGGCACACGGCACCTTGCAGGCGCCCCATCAAATGTCTGAGGAATGAATGAATGAGTGGAGCCACAAAACAAGCAGACTCAATGGAACTACAGTAAATTGCATCTTCCAATACTATAATCAACCAAAAATCTCCAGTCACTATGGAGATATATTCCCAATTATATTATTGGGTATATAAGGGTAATCAATGCTCAAAATAAAAACTCTGGTATAATCCACAATCCTGATCTTAGTGTGAATAACCAAAGAAAGATTAAATTATTCTCAGCACCCTTTCCAGATTGTACATCACATCACATTCTAAATTCACCAAAACTTGCTTTCGCCTGGCAGTATAAATAGCAATTCTTAAATAACCAGAATACTTAAAGTATCAGAATGTTCCAGGTCTCAAAACTCCTGAATAAATGATTGTTTTACTGCATTTTAAGGCAGAAAAAAAAAAGAATACAATTTCCTAGATATGATTTCATGTATTAGATACCTCTCTGACAATAGATTTATTTAGTTTTTCTCTATTATACTATATGCCTACAAGTGTCTTAATATGCATTAATTTTGAAGAAGCTGAAGTAACCTCAAACTCCCCTAGAGGAAGTATATGTTGGGGCAGAAAAAAGGAGTCTGGGAGGTGATAGAGTCGGAGCAGCCAAACCACACTCATGAGTGAACTTCAATCAGTAAGACTGTTGCTAGTCCACTGCTCACTTTCAGCACTGAATTCATGCCAGCCCCTGTCACCCAGCATCGAGCAGACATTTGCCATTCCTGTTGACCTGTGCACGTGACTGCTCATCCAGGAGTCACACCACAAACCCAGAAAGGCCTGACCCATTTTCATAAAGCGCAAAAAGTTAGGTCAGGACCCACATCTGAGGTGCCAAGTGCTCTGTATTAAATATTTATGGGGTATCTGTGAGTAGAAATACACAGACAAATCAATATTTTCCATGACCTTGAACGAGTTTGCAAGGGACGGACGTGCTCATTAACAGCTTTGTACCTTTAATTCCCCGATGGAGGAGAGAAGCCCTGCTCCATAAGCCCGCAGTTGTCCTTCTTGTTTGCAGAGGCCAAACTCGATTGTGAAGAAATAGCACTAAAAAAAAAAAAGAAAGAAATCCAGTGAACTAGTCAACAAGCTCTTCAATAAAATAAAATGGCCCCCAAATAAAATGGTGCTCTGTTCATAATTTCCTCAGCATCATCAATTTAAGTACATTTAAATCAAGCCATTTATTGAAACCTGTTTTCTTGCTTACTAGTCCCTCCCTGAGTTTAAGGTATATGGAAAACTATTAACTAGTAAGAGTCTTGTGCCTCCTGGATTCAGAAACCCTCTGGGTCAAATTATATCCCCTGAAATAACTTTAAAAATAAAAAACATAGATTTTGAAATGAATGAATATATCAAAATGATAACACCATAAAAATATGCTTTATATTTACCAAACTGTTTTAATGACATAAGTTCATACAAACATGGAAACACGGGCTGGAATCCAAAAGTCCCAACAAGATTGTCACACTTGATTTATTTGTCCAATAAGCATTTGTTCGAGTCCCTCCTGCGTGTCAATGCTTGGCAAAGAATTGTAGTAAAGAAAGGAGAGAGTGGAGAAGACGGCCAGTATCTGGAAGTGCCTACCAAATAACTGAAACCACAATTTTTTTTTTTTGAGACAGAGTCTCATTCTGTTACCCAGGCTACAGGGCCATGGTATCAGCCTCGTTCACAGCAACTTCAAACTCCTGGGCTCAAGCAATCCTCCTGCCTTGACTGCCACAACGTCCAGTTAATTTTTCTATTTTTAACACAGATGGGGTTTCACTCTTGCTCAGGTTGGTCTCAAACTCCTGAACTTGAGGGATCCTCCTACCTCAGCCTCCCAGTGTCAGGATTATAGGTGTGAGCCACCATGCCCAGCCTAAAACAATAATTTTAATATAATTTTTAGTGAAATTATAAAGGTATGTATATGAATGCATGGATTTACGTATGTATTTGTGTGTACTTACACACAGTTGCTCCTTGATATACAAAAATGTTACAACTCTATAAACTCAGCAAGTTGAAAAAAAAATCCAAAGTTGAAGATGTGTTTAATATACCTAACCCAAACATCATAGCTTAGCTAGCTTACCTTAAACATGCTCAGAACACTGACATTGGACATGGCTACACAAAATTACCTAACACAAAGCCAACCTTATAAGAGAGCATTTGAAAGGCCAAAATTAAAAATTCAAAGAATGGTTTCTGTTGAATGTACATCACTTTCACACCATCCTAAAGTTGAGAAACCATACGCTGATCCTTCATGAAGTTGGAGACCGTGTGTGTGTGTGTGTGTGTACAGAGACATATATACACAAACGGAAAGAGCATCTCATTGGCCTGACTTTTATCAGCATCAGCTCCCACAGCCTCCTCAGGATATTAACATCTACAGTTGCCTCTGCTGGATTTAAGAAATCATCCTAGAAGACAGAAATGTCTGCACAACCAAAGAAAACACTCTTGATGATATTGGGAGAGGCTGAAATTGCACTACTTTTGCTCTGAGAGAAAAGTGAGAGGCTGACGATGATAAGCAATAAAAATTGCATCAAATTAACATTGCCCTGCATCAGTGATGATCGAGGGCTGAAGGTGTCGAGAAAGAGGAAAATGTCAACACTCCTGAAAAGAATCACTCCTAGAATCTCACGGCAGAAAATAATCATTATTTCTAGCCCACGGCAGTTTGTTTTATTTTTATTTGAAGGTTAAGATGTCCCTTGCTTCAGGAGGGATATATATACATATAAATATAATTATACATATATATGTACCATTTTTATTTTTACCATGAGAATATCTCTAAATTCGAGGGGTCCAACGCTCTGCAGCCCTGGATTAGACTTAACGGACTGCACGTTTTCAGGTTATGGACCTTAACCCTCAGAGGCAAAACTGGTGGTGACACGGGTCCTTGCTGTGGGAGGCCGTCCTGAGCACTGGTGGTGACACGGGTCCTTGCTGTGGGAGGCCGTCCTGAGCACTGGTG